CATAATCACCACAAAACAAACCCCGATTTTAAAAAAACCAGCAACAAATTGCTTAACTTTCCCGGTAACATTTAAAACTGTGCGTGACGCCATCTCTTAAATTTTATTTTAAAATTTTTTATATAATTAATTATTATAAAATGATGCCTTTTATACAAACGGAAATAAGAATCTTCCACTTTTATTTGTAGTTTAACGATAAAATAACGTTTAATTTGTTTATCCTTCTTTATTTCTCGTCATCCTTTGTCATAAACTATTATTAAACTGTAATAATGAATTTCATCTCAATTATAAAGCAAAATCCTTTGTTTCTGTTGTACCTCTACACATCTGTGCAAATCATCGAATCTTAGCGGAAAAGCGACCATTTTAACTCTTTTTACAAGACCATTCGACATGTTGAAAACAACAATTAGGATCCGAATTCGGATTTTAAATACATATAAAACCTTAAAAAAAAAAAAACTAATGTACCCTTTAGGCACCATAGGTTCTACTTCCCGGATCTAGTAAACATTTCATTCAATGTTTCAATTGTAAAGTGTGTGCTTGAGCTTACAAGAGTTATTTAAAAGAGCAATAAAGGATTTTTGTATGATTTAAGATGCAGATCAGAAAGGCCATTTAGCTGAAGTCCATAGCTTCGTGGGACCCAGGCACATTTGAATTAGGGGGATCATATAGCGTACAATGTCGACTTCAGACATTTTCTTTAGGAAAATATTTTTTAACGCTATCTCTGAAAGATTAAGTTCTTCGTCACACCAGCAATCTAGGGTCTCCAGACATGGCGCAAAATTTAAATTTCGATATTCTTACTAAAGTAATGAGTTTATAAAAGATTAGTTTGGCCCCCCCATATTGGTGGAGGTCCGGACAATTGCCCTTTTTGCCCATAGGATAACGCTCCACTGCTCAGGTCCTTATATTTCCAAAGCCTCAAAAAATTTCTTACAAATGATTCATGGCATTTTCAAATTTTATTATTTTTTAATATACAAGGATATATAACAATTTTTAATATCAAAAAAATTAATCTTTCAGAATTCTCTCCACATTTGAAAGACGTTCTTGAGATTTAGCTTAATTCATTTAGTATGCACATACATTCTAGATTTGTATTTGTCTAGAATTTATTGCACCTAAAAGAATTATAAGGATATTCTATACGATATACACTTTTGATGTCTAAATATTTTAAAAGAATCTCGTGTAAGTAACATAAGAGATGCAAGTGTAAACAACGTGATCATTTATTATCAATAAATTTATAATGTTTGACTTTAAGAAAATTTATGAAATGTTAAGTTCGATTCTCAGTAGAAATGTTTACTTTTGGAGAATATTAAGAAAAGCCGGATGATACCACTTTCACTTTTTAACATTATCCAGAATCCTTTGACGTCACTTATAACATTTAAAAGTAGGCTAATGTTATTCCAGAATAACGTAATTTTGGTTTCTTAACAAGTTGGATTCCCATTCTATAACGTCAATTTTTCCTCGTAAACAAACAGATTCTTCTATACATATAAAATTGAATTCACAGTATGTCTGTTTGCCCGTAAATCACGCGAGAATTGATGAACCGATTTCTATGAAACTTCGTAGGCCTACATGAATTCAGGATAGTCCTGGGAAGGATATAGACTACTTCGAATTCACGTTTGTGTGTCTGTTTATTGGAAGCACATATTCTTTTTCCGTATATGAATTTTTATGTGTGTGTGTATTTTTATATGACTATATTACCTTTACTTAATATATCATTTTCACTAGCCAAAGCGGGTATCTGCTAGTTGTATGTTTTTTATAAGTGAAAATAAAAGTCGATGTCATGCATTGAAGCACCTGCAATCTTTCCATTCGGGCAAAACAACCAGAGGTGCTTCACTGCACGACAGCAACAAAACTTTGCTGGCTTTTTGGATTTGTTTTTCGTTTTATCTTCTCGCTAATGTGTCGAACAAAAGAGGGGTTCTTTCAAATGTTTTTATGGCCTACAACTTTCTAATTGACATTTTTTGTCAGTTAAGTTTGTGTATATACTCGTTCTGGATCTCTAAGTCTCTCAGCCTGTTTAGCTGGTTTTCTCCTATTATTGAATTCCATGTTACAAGATCCATAGTCCATCCATATTCTCAAAGTCCTGGATACGTCACTGTAACGCTGTATTTTCTTTAAGTTAGTAGGCCTTCACGTAGGACCTACCTGGCCTTCTATCATTTTTTTTCCTTCAATGCCATCCCATAGAGGTCCTCCATATTTAAGGATATGTCTCATGTATTTTATTCTGGATAATCGAGAGTTATATATAAACATTATTCTAAAATATTGAATTTCCATATCTAAGAATTCGAGTTTTGAAATTTTCTAAGAATTTTGATTATTGGATTGATTAAAAGTTTAAAATTATTTAAAAAAAGCACTAAGATAAGGGAAAAACATGTAGAATATTACTTAATGTTTACCCCCCTCAGACTACACATTTATTTAACATGAAAATGATGCAAAAGTGTTGGAATATTAAAAATTCACTTAGAAAATTGTTAAATAAGAAATGTTCATATAATTATAGAATCTAATTTATTACAAATTACATCTCTGTGTTCATCAGATTAATTATTTTACTATATGAAGCATTGTTAATGATAATAAATCTAATATCATGCTATTTAAAATGTCAGATATTTCAGAACTAAGATAAGACAAATTTCAAAAAAATTACTATTATTATTTTTTAAATAAAATTATGAATTTTTTTTAATATGAAGTNATTTTTCATAAACATTAATTTCATATTATAGAAACGAAAATAAAAATAATAATTTTATTGCGAAAGAAAATAAATAAAAATCAGATATTAGTAATACGAGATGTAACAACGACGAGAGCGCCACTTAACATGTAGAAACCGAACTAAACTGTATTATGCCGAGAAGCGGGAGGTTGAATGTGTATAAATTGACAGACGCATAACACGTTTGTTCTCTTTCAATCGTCGCCGTTGACATTTGTGATTTCCTTTAGGTAAGATTTTTGCTTTTTTTAAAATTCCGTACATTTTTTTATAGTATTACTTCGAATTATTAGCTTTATTTTCGGTAAATAAATAAAATAATGTTACGATCTATTCTATTGGACGACGGACATCGCAGAGACGTAAGGATCCAATCGTATTATTGAATAGTTCGAAGTTGGGCGTGTCTTGAATCTTAATTTAAATTTTCAAATCTCTTGTGTGATGAGTAGTGGTCTTTTTTTTCCCTGTGTTAACTTTGTATTTAAAAAAAGAGAAAAAAACACGTGAGTTTTAAACAGGAAACTCTTTCCTCGCGTATAGAAACTCGACCGGAAAATTTCGCAAGTTTTTCCTCCGTATTTAGAGGATTGTAACACTCCCCCCCCCATAATCTGTCAAACAATACATGTAATACAAAAAAAAAAAAGATGGAGGATATTAAAACCAAATAGAACTTCAGAACGTCCCCAATTTTAGTGGACCTGGGAGGGTGGTTTGTGGTTAGCTCATGAAAATTCAAGAAGTTAATCGAAGCAGCAGATGGTCCACTACGTGATCTGGCACGTGTGAATAATTTTTTTTTTTCCTTTTAGTCACTTTGTTTTTTCTTTTTTATTAGTAACTCGTGACGTTTTATCTAGCATGATTCTCATTCTTATCTGTCCGTGACTTTGAATTGGAACGTCTGGCTGTGTCTCTTTTCTCTCGGATAAGGTTACTATTCGCTTCGTTAACTTTAGATGCGCCCGCTGGTACGTAGTATTGATAATTAATCTCTTGCAAATTTTATTCACTTGGCAGCTGAACTTCTGTCTCCATTTTAGGTATTTTTTTTTAAATACTGTACGTGCTTATTTTTTTTGTAGATCTTTTAAAGCAGGTGGAAACTATATAGGTGCCCTCGATCACCTTGAAATGTACTCCATCTTTCTATCTCTCTTCTGATTTTAAAGATTACTTTTCAGGCATCTGCCAACTCGCCCGACCTATGGTTTATATATATATAAAACTGCTTAGGCCTACCATCTGGCTAATTTTTATGTCGTTTTCTCTCCTCTGTTGCCGTCATCCCTCGTTTGGAATCGACCGAGCCGGGGGAGGGAGGGACCGGTTACTATGGCAACTGGCCTGCACCCCGAGTTGTCAGTTGAGAATTGACCATGAACACGTAAGGTCTAAAAACTCTAGTCTCAAAAGAATCCGTAAGTATTGGTTAATAGGTTGGGATTCGTGATCTTATCCACGATAATCTTTTTCGAAGAGAATGACCTTGGTGATTATTTTTCCATTCATTGTTTGGTGGACGGATGTGAAATCGTCCTCGTTTACTCCCACTTTCGTTTTATCGATCGTCTTGTAGAAGAGAGCCGGAGAGACGACGATCTTTTTATTCTTCTTGCCATTTTTAACTGCAGGTGTTCTTCCTTTTCTAATTCTATATACGTAATATGGACCCGATCCCATTGATCAGTGACTCACTTGCCATCGATTGGACCTATTTCTGGGGCCGGGCGAGTCCATTTTCCGTTTCGTAAGCCCCCTTAAGCGGTCGGCTTCGCTGCTAGCAAATGTGTATAAAAAGGGTGTTAACGTGGTGTGATACCGAGGGGAAGACACGGGGGACACAACATTACGGTGACAGGTGTTCTGTGATCGAGATGACTCACTTTTTGTTGGCTTCTCGATGTTCGAACGATCGAAATTTCGACGAAACTCCACTCCCTTCAATGTCAATTTAAAGTAATTGTGGAATAGCTGACCTCTTCGCTCAGGCATTTTCTTCCAATTTAGTCCTTGTTAAGCCGTAAATTGGTATGCTGAAGTTTTAATAGGTCATACTGTCTTCGCGTTTCGAATACCGTAATTATTAAATTCTTGTAATTGTTCTTAAAAGTTGTCGCTTAGGGGCATGACTAAAATCTTAAGAACTTGATACCCTCCAGAAAATAATCCATGGAAATAATGCTCCAGGAACATCTTTAATTGTCTGAGAACTAAAATCAACTTTTCTTTTTTAGATTTTAGGTTTACTAAAACCTAAGTTCGTGTGATCAGACCTATCGTGTGCACTGTGGTTGCACTATGTAATTAATTTTATGTAAATCAAATTGATATTTGAGTTCACTTTTTTTCATTCACTCTATGAAAATGTAAGTTCTAATTTTTTTTCCTCCTTCTGTAGCAGTAATTAAGTTAAAATGGGTATCAAATCAAGCAAACAAAAGTCAGCTGACATTACCGGTTCCCCCAGCGATAAGAAAGCCAAGAAAAGAGGCAAGAAAGAATCGATTAATGGCGATGCAGGCACAGAAGTATCCAATCAAGTTTGTTGAAACAATAATTTTTATCATTTTCGTAACTACTGTCTTCCTGTCTTCTTATCCGTGTTCTTTATCCATTCAAAGGAAAACGTAGAATCTGTCGAAAAATCAGCTGAAGTAGAAAGCGAGAAGAAAACGGAGGAAGATGTAACGTCTCGAAATACTCAGGCGGAACCTACTAACGTAGACGAAGACTCTGCAACAGGAAGTGGAGGTGTAACGGCTCCAGCTTCTCCGGATACTCTTCAAGGTGTTTCTGAAGAAACAAAACTAAAACAAGAAGAAGAATTAACTACAGAAAAGTTAGAAAGTAAACAATCTGATGAAACGCCAAAAGATTCTGATGTTCCAGTCCAAGAAACGGATAGCAATAAGGAAGAATCTAAACAGGAAGAACCCGAAGAGAAGGCGAGCAGCGAGACGCCTGAAAAACAGGTAAGCCTGTATAAGAAAGTTAGTTAATTCTTCCTTTTCCAATATATTGAACTAAAAAAATCTCTCTGGAATTCAGGAACAAACCAATGGCATACCCACAACATTCAAATGGGAGAAAGGAGGAAAAGAAGTGTCAATCATAGGGTCTTTCAGCGGATGGAAGGATTTGCTGCCTTTAATTGAAAAGTAAGTGTTGTGGTAGAACACTTAAAGCAGTTTTTAGTTCGAAACTTTAATTTAATCGAATTCTTATTAGGGAGGGAGTATTTGTGGTAACATCGAATCTTTCTGCTGGCGATTACTACTATAAATATCAGGTTGATGGCGAATGGGCTGTTGATCAAGATCAGGTAGGCCCCGAGTCTCTCTTTGCTTTCTATTTATTTTTAAGAAGACTAAAAATTTTATATATATTTAATTTTCAAGCCCACAACCGAATTGGAAGACCAAGGCACTGTAAACATCTTAACTGTATCTGCGAAAGAATAAATTCGTGCCTTCAGGTTTTTAAAATCTTGATTTATCATTTCTAAAGTTAACCAACGATTGTGTCCATCTGTCTACATTCATCCACATGTATCGGCATTCCTGCACATGTTTTTGTGAACAACCTGTGAGGCAGGTGAAAGTATCCACCAGGTTTTTTTTTTCCTTGGAAGATTGTCATCCCTGCCATGTTGGTGTGCTGTGATTTTTGTGAGGTGCTGCTGAGTGACTTTAAATTCCATATACGTATTTCGAAATACAACTTAGATTTTTATATCTGCCATCTTCTTCAACTTCACGTTGAGAAGTTTTTCTACTGTTTTTTGGAATACTTTTGGTGCTTGCCATTTTGGCAGTTTTTTGTAAAATTTTTTTTGTTTTGGTGACTTACTATTTTTTTGAGAACTTTGTTCTAACTGCCAATTTCTCGTGCCATTAGTCTAAAATTTTAACGTGCGGTGATCTTTTTGATATTTAACAGGAGTTTTAAGTTTAACCATATTTTACATGTATAGGATTTTTCGAAAAATTCAAAAGCTTGTAACAATTTATACATAATAATTAATAAAAAAATTTCATACTTCTGTTAACGGATGTTTTTGTTTATCCTAATAGAAATTCTGTAAATTGAGCGAATGTTGGTACAAATACGAAAAAAATCTCGTCACAGTGGCTGTTGATAAGGTTTCGAGGTAACGTATACCATGGTAAAAACAAATCATTTTATTACAAACTACTCCCATTCAATACTAGATTTATCAGACCCCGTGAATCTACTTAGATCCCGTTGAATAGGAATTTGTCAAAATACCGGAGTAATAATTCGTGTTAATATACGTTTGAGAAACCTGCTGCAGTAAATTAGGTTCTTCTAATCTTCATTTTAAATTTTAGTATATTGAGCATAAATTTTATATATTTAATAATTGTATTTCTATTTAATTTCTTTTAATATCTGGAGTAAGGCTACCATAACCAAATAAAACAGACTGCTTTTATCAAATCGTTTGTGTATGCTGTATCATTTTATGTACTGTACCGGTACCTATAAAACTCCGCCCCCATAAAAAAAATACTCCCGAAAAGATGTCCGGAAAAAAGAGGACTTAGCTACCGATTCAGGATCCTTATCGTGTCTATTGATGACGCATAGAAAGGGTTAGGATAATTCATTTTTTTACGTTAATTTGACGATCTCGTCGGTTCTAGAGGAATTTACGTGAAGGTCCGTTCGATTGCTATCTTACACATTTTAAAGTATGGATAAGAGTTCCTGTAAATCAGCAATGAGTTCAGGAACGTTTCGTTATTTTCTCAATATCTGACGGAAAATTACTGGGGCTTTTCGATCCCGATACCCCAGAGCGATCGGCTTCAATCTTAAAACACTCGGCCAACCAGCCGTTCTCTCTGGAATTATAACACCACGGAATAATAAATACAGTACTTGTTATTATAAAAATTTTTAAATATTCGGCGGCAATTGAATCGCCGAAACCACTTATTTTCAACTTATTGAGAGAGCTTAAAAAATTATAAAAGTCTGAAACGCCTTTTGTTCTTTTATAATGAATTCAAACAGTCCGTTCTGTGTTAAGACTTGTACAGGTCAAATACGTATAGTGTGAACAACACGTTCCTGGACCCTGATATATTTATACTGCTCACATTACGTTGCCAGACAGCTTATAACAGGGAGTAGTACAGCTAATTGCGATTGAAGGTACCGATCATCGAAAAATTCCCGGGTTCCCCAAAGGGGTAGGCTGACACCTACCAGGGATGCTGAATCATAACTGCAGAGTATGGGAATCAGAAAACATTCACGCCATTCGAGAAGTCTGAGAGACCAGAACTGTGAATAACATATTCGTCATAATCGAAAATTTTAGGGTCTCTTCCTTTGCTGAAAAGCAATGATAGAGGTGAACTATGTTTATATGCTACAGAAGTTTCTGCTATTTCAATTGGAAGATCATTAGATAAATATATTCCAGCAAGATGGCGCACCACCAGGATCATCTTGCCCCAGAATTTCTTGATATGAATTTTCCCGGGAGCCGGTTTGGACGTGATGGACCGATTCTACTTTACATTTGTTAATGCTCTAATGAACAAGACATAATCAAAACAAAACCCGATTTAAAAAAAAAACCAGCAACAAATTGCTTAACTTTCCCGGTAACATTTAAAACTGTGCGTGACGCCATCTCAAATTTTATTTTAAAATTTTTTATATAATTAATTATTATAAAATGATGCCTTTTATACAAACGGAAATAAGAATCTTCCACTTTTATTTGTAGTTTAACGATAAAATAATGTTTAATTTCTTTATCCTTCTTTATTTCTCGTCATCCTTTGTCATAAACTATTATTAAACTGTAATAATGAATTTCATCTCAATTATAAAGCAAAATCCTTTGTTTCTGTTGTACCTCTACACATCTGTGCAAATCATCGAATCTTAGCGGAAAAGCGACCATTTTAACTCTTTTTACAAGACCATTCGACATGTTGAAAACAACAATTAGGATCCGAATTCGGATTTTAAATACATATAAAACCTTAATAAAAAAAAAAAAACTAATGTACCCTTTAGGCACCATAGGTTCTACTTCCCGGATCTAGTAAACATTTCATTCAATGTTTCAATTGTAAAGTGTGTGCTTGAGCTTACAAGAGTTATTTAAAAGAGCAATAAAGGATTTTTGTATGATTTAAGATGCAGATCAGAAAGGCCATTTAGCTGAAGTCCATAGCTTCGTGGGACCCAGGCACATTTGAATTAGGGGGATCATATAGCGTACAATGTCGACTTCAGACATTTTCTTTAGGAAAATATTTTTTAACGCTATCTCTGAAAGATTAAGTTCTTCGTCACACCAGCAATCTAGGGTCTCCAGACATGGCGCAAAATTTAAATTTCGATATTCTTACTAAAGTAATGAGTTTATAAAAGATTAGTTTGGGCCCCCATATTGGTGGAGGTCCGGACAATTGCCCTTTTTGCCCACAGGATAACGCTCCACTGCTCAGGTCCTTATATTTCCGGAGCCTCAAAAAAATTCTTACAAATGATTCATGGCATTTTCAAATTTTATTATTTTTTAATATACAAGGATATATAACAATTTTTAATATAAAAAAAATTAATCTTTCAGAATTCTCTCCACATTTGAAAGACGTTCTTGAGATTTAGCTTAATTCATTTAGTATGCACATACATTCTAGATTTGTATTTGTCTAGAATTTATTGCACCTAAAAGAATTATAAGGATATTCTATACGATATACACTTTTAATGTCTAAATATTTTAAAAGAATCTCGTGTAAGTAACATAAGAGATGCAAGTGTAAACAACGTGATCATTTATTATCAATAAATTTATAATGTTTGACTTTAAGAAAATTTATGAAATGTTAAGTTCGATTCTCAGTAGAAATGTTTACTTTTGGAGAATATTAAGAAAAGCCGGATGATACCACTTTCACTTTTTAACATTATCCAGAATCCTTTGACGTCACTTATAACATTTAAAAGTAGGCTAATGTTATTCCAGAATAACGTAATTTTGGTTTCTTAACAAGTTGGATTCCCATTCTATAACGTCAATTTTTCCTCGTAAACAAACAGATTCTTCTATACATATAAAATTGAATTCACAGTATGTCTGTTTGCCCGTAAATCACGCGAGAATTGATGAACCGATTTCTATGAAACTTCGTAGGCCTACATGAATTCAGGATAGTCCTGGGAAGGATATAGACTACTTCGAATTCACGTTTGTGTGTCTGTTTATTGGAAGCACATATTCTTTTTCCGTATATGAATTTTTATGTGTGTGTGTATTTTTATATGACTATATTACCTTTACTTAATATATCATTTTCACTAGCCAAAGCGGGTATCTGCTAGTTGTATGTTTTTTATAAGTGAAAATAAAAGTCGATGTCATGCATTGAAGCACCTGCAATCTTTCCATTCGGGCAAAACAACCAGAGGTGCTTCACTGCACGACAGCAACAAAACTTTGCTGGCTTTTTGGATTTGTTTTTCGTTTTATCTTCTCGCTAATGTGTCGAACAAAAGAGGGGTTCTTTCAAATGTTTTTATGGCCTACAACTTTCTAATTGACATTTTTTGTCAGTTAAGTTTGTGTATATACTCGTTCTGGATCTCTAAGTCTCTCAGCCTGTTTAGCTGGTTTTCTCCTATTATTGAATTCCATGTTACAAGATCCATAGTCCATCCATATTCTCAAAGTCCTGGATACGTCACTGTAACGCTGTATTTTCTTTAAGTTAGTAGGCCTTCACGTAGGACCTACCTGGCCTTCTATCATTTTTTTTCCTTCAATGCCATCCCATAGAGGTCCTCCATATTTAAGGATATGTCTCATGTATTTTATTCTGGATAATCGAGAGTTATATATAAACATTATTCTAAAATATTGAATTTCCATATCTAAGAATTCGAGTTTTGAAATTTTCTAAGAATTTTGATTATTGGATTGATTAAAAGTTTAAAATTATTTAAAAAAAGCACTAAGATAAGGGAAAAACATGTAGAATATTACTTAATGTTTACCCCCCTCAGACTACACATTTATTTAACATGAAAATGATGCAAAAGTGTTGGAATATTAAAAATTCACTTAGAAAATTGTTAAATAAGAAATGTTCATATAATTATAGAATCTAATTTATTACAAATTACATCTCTGTGTTCATCAGATTAATTATTTTACTATATGAAGCATTGTTAATGATAATAAATCTAATATCATGCTATTTAAAATGTCAGATATTTCAGAACTAAGATAAGACAAATTTCAAAAAAATTACTATTATTATTTTTTAAATAAAATTATGAATTTTTTTTAATATGAAGTTTAAAATGTTGAAAATAAAGCAAAGCAAAACAAAATTAAAAAAAAAGTTTTATATTATGAAAAGTGTAGGTGTAGAGATATATTTATAAATTAAAAGAATTATTTTAATGTATAATTAGATCTATAGAAAAACAATAAAGTAACTTATTTTAGTAAATGAAATGTGGTAGTACAAATTAGTATTTAATTTAATTTGCTGTAAAAATAAACTTTAATATATAACAATTAAAACAATTGATAAGATTCACAGGAAAATAACTTATCTATTAGACATGCCATATTTACTGCATAAAGATTTATAGCTGTAGTTATATTCTAGAAAAATAGAAATTTATTGTAAATGTCCTCTGTAAATGCAAATTACATAAGTTAAATTATATTACTGATCTAAATAATTAAAAGATTTGTTTGTCTGCAGAACATAATCTTCATATTTAAAAAAGAAAAAAAGTGTTGATAAATTACAGTACATACTATGAAACTTTACATCCAATACACATAAGATTAATTAGAAGATTAATTAATAATAGAAAATTGTCTTGAAATAGCTATTGAAATTGTATGGTTTCATGAATAATTAAAGAAAATTAATATGCTTGTGCTAGATTCACAGAAAACTAATATGCTTATGAATGACATAATGGAAAATTTACATTATGTAAACTTCTAGATATGTTCCAGAGAAAGAGAAATAA